TGAGATTTACATATCTCAGGAGCAAATATACAAATTACGTAATCAATTATTTTTGTTTCAGGTCACATTGTTATTGGAAAATTCGTATATACCTATATATACCTATATATACTCGTGTATCTTGATAATAGATTCGTTGAAAAGACTCTTTTCTCTGAATCACTTGTTTTGATTTTGTAAATATGAACACTACAAAAATATAAACAAAAACAAATGGGGCACACTGAATGTAAGTTCCAGGGCTGTCAGGTAACAAATCTATATACTGACGAAATAAAGTGAACAGTAATCAAATAAGTGAGACAAGATAGCTGGCAATGTACTTTACCAAATAATTCATAGAATTTATAAACTTCAGAGTGGAGTGTAGAATTAATAAGATTAGTATGTAGCTAAAACACAACACCCATATCGGCTGAAATCTCAGTGAAGATACTATCATTGAATGGAACCACATGAAATAAAATCTTAAAGTTAGGTGAGCAATCAGTTATGCACGAAACCAAATAATGGAAATTTAGGCAGTCTGGCATAAAGCAGTCTTTGCTTTCTCAGTTTGTAAATTCTTGTATTCTACCCATCCCTCTTTACTGCTCCCATTAATCTTTCCTGGACTACTTAAAAAAGACTTTGCTTTGCTGAGAAGGGCACTAAAAGCAGTTAGTAGGGCAAGTGGGATATTGTTAAACCAACTGGTTAACACTATGGTGGATAGACATATAATGTCATGTAAGAAACTAGCGAATACTAAATTGTCAGACCCCAAGCATCCTCTCTATACGCAGCTGTCTCCTTGCATTTCAGCTGGTAGAACTAGAAGCAGCTATAGGAGGCTATATGCTAGGACAACCAAGTACAAAAGCTCCACAATACCATATCTGGCACAGCTGTTATGTGATGAGAAATCCGTTAGGTATGACACGATCAATTTACTGCGGCACTCTAACAAATAGTCCCATTAGTTTTTGTTTTCCTTTCTTCGTTACTATTACACTGTTGTTCACATCTATTATACACTAATTTTATATTTCATATCCTGTGGTGCATTGTTTAAAGTGTGAACGCGACGCTGTTCTTTTTTATTTATTTCTATTCATCTATTTTTTTGGTTGTTGCTTTTTGATTTTAAAATCTTATAAAATTTATGAGGTAACTAGATGCAATATATTGTAATGCACGCTGAAAATTCCATACCTGTACCACAAATACTGTTTGGAATAAAACTGTTAATATTATTATTATAAAAAAAAATAAAATGGATGGAATCCTGAAAGGTCAGTCCAAATTTCTAATGGATAATACTACTGATAATGTGATGCTTGTGGAAAAGCAGATCAATCGTCAGCTTCAGATTTAACTGATGCATGGTTTTATACATGAAAAACGTTATAGACAACTTAAAGTTATTGAATCACATACTCCCAAACTGTATGGCCTTCCAAAGATCACAAAACTGGGAACCCACTGAGACTAATTTTAGATATGTCGAATTCCCAGTATCATCAAATCATTACAGACGTCCTTACGCCTGTAAGAGTCTCATTATCAAATCATTTGTAAAAAGTTCATTTGATGTGACCAATATGCTAGACACCTTGAACATTAAGGAGAAGATTGTGTTCTCAACTGACATGGAATCATTGTTCTCTAATGTTCCTCTTCACGAAACTGTTGATTTCATTTGCGATTGGGATAAACTTACCTATTCCTGTCACTTGCACCAGAGATATTATCTTAATATATACAAAAATATTAGATTCATCTTTCAAGAAAAGGCATACAAAAAAATCGATGATGTTGCGATGGGTAACCCTCTTGGGCCTCTGTTAGCATATACATTCATGCCCAAATTAGAGAAAAAAAATGAAAGGTATTCTTAGGGAATTTACGCCATATAAACGTTATTTGAATGATATACTCATTATTGGTAATAATAGTAGGTCTATCGGAAACCTTGTTACTCTATTTAATCGTATTCATCCAAATATCCAAGTGACTTCTGGATTTGAATCGAATAACAAACTCGGTTCCCTGGATATTTCAATGACCAAGGGAGACTATGGAACGACTAAGCTATCTATATTTCGTAAACAGACATGGAGTGGATAATATCTTCATTTCAGCAGTTTTTTTCCTATCCAGGATGAACGTTCCTTAGTGAGATGTTTGTTTTCAAGGTCCCGCAAAATATGTACAAGAGGCACATTGATGAGTGAGTTTCGATACATACATTCAGTCCTGTTAGCTAATGTTTAACGAGAAAACTTTATCAATTGTCACAGTAGGGATAGACCGCATCTTGGAAAGACAGCTGCTGTACCAAAGAAAGCTGTCTTTACTAACCTACCGTTCAACGGTGGTCAAATTATACATTTGAAAGCTTAAAGAATTCGGTCAGCCATCATGCGCACATTCTACCCTCATCTCTTTTCCTCACATCTTGAACATTTTTGATCCCTGTACCTACGACTAAAGGACCAAATTCCGTGAACACTACTCAACACTGTATCTACAAGTCCACCTGCAGCTGTGGGGACACCTATTTAAGCAGAACCAATAGAATGTTCTAATGTTGTCGAAAAGAACATGTTCCAAAATGGTTATTAAAACGTGTAGAAAAATCCCAATGGAATTAATCTTAATAGAAATTCAGCATCATCCATTGCAAAGCACTTATTTAATGTCAGGTCACAAAATCAATATTAATGACTGTTTCACAATTATTTCGCATAACTCTAATTCAAGGTTAATCAAGGCGATGGTGGAAGCACTTTTGAGGATTTATCACATTCAGCCTAAACTATGTGTACAAAAAACAACAATAGACTTCAATCTTCGCCTACCATGGACTACACGACCTATTTAAATATGATTGGTCATAAGCGTGCACTTTTGTTTTCTTTTTAAGTGGGTAATTGTCATAATCTTTATTTTATTATTGTTAACCATGTTAGTTGTAAAGCGGTTGTAAAGAAACTACGAAATGATGGCATCATCTCGCGAAGTTTGTCTTCTAAATGCCATATTCTAATCTATTTAACTATGATTGGTCAATAGTATGTACTTTTGTTTTACGTACTCTATAATGGCAAAATTTTTTCCCCTATCAAATATCCTAACCGCACAGGAATGGTAACATTCACACTCATTATATGACAGTTATCAGACCTCATTTATTCTTGATGATCATGAAATCGGTGGTCTGCTTAAAATCTTGGCTACCAAAAAACTCCCTCAATATATTCCTTATAGTTTCTTCTGTTCAGTTTGTTCAAATCTAGTAAATTATGACTTCTAATGGAATTATTTACTCTCGCGGATGTCCGAAATAATTACGACCTACTGATTCGCAAGTTTTTGCTAAACATCAGATAAAGCATTATCCTCGATGGCAACGTATTCCAATACATGAGATGACCGTTCCTGAGTGGTGTCGTCGGTTCACGAATTGTACTCCTTAACTATTTGTATTCGTCATTCAACAAAATGTCGTGCATTTCTCCAGGGAGAAAAAGAAGAGATATTGTAATGGATTGGTTTGCACTTCAGGTTAGATACAACTGTGTCACACAATTTACGGTCAATTTATTTTTTTATTTAAAGATTCTAGACGAAGGGGAAATATCACGCAATAAACTCTGCTGGAAATTTTGTTCAGAATGAAACTGTTATTATTGTTATTGTTGTTCCCATTCCACATTCTGAGGCTTTTAATAATATCAACCTTTCTGACCTACTGTGATGACGGATACTTGCACTTTTTACTGAAATAGCTGAATATGTATCTATGTCATACTTTTCTCAGTGCTGTTTCGTACAAGGCCTACGAGGGAATTATGCAAACTATAACTGCTTGTCAGCAGTCACCAAAGTCAGCCTCGTACTTGAGTGTTTTACCAAATCATTTCGTCTACAGTACGCCTGTTTGACCTCTCATTGACTAAGTGACTCGTTCTCACTCGAATTGCATTAGGTTATTTCAAAATTTAGGGTATGAATTCAGTGAAAAAAGCTTTAAGAATAGTAACGTAGATATTATAGCCACTGAGACCCAATTCAATGGCCCATGAATTCTAATTTCTATCAATTCGTGATTTTAGCGTGACTACCAATCGATGTCATCGGTGTGAAATCCATCCCCATTGCCGACTGGATGGACCCGACTGGTCAATGATTTTCACTAGAACTCCAAGTAACTTCGTCCTGTAACCAGTCACTAGCGAGCATCAGATTAATTTTCAAGAAGTAATTTGAAGGGATTGTATTTGTTTTAGGTACTGCCGATGAATTCCAAACTAGGATGAAACAGCTGTCCAGTATTTCCAGCTGGTTTTTAGTGGTTCTCTATCTGATATCAATCCACCGTTGAACCTGAAAAACAAATCTAATCCTTAGAAATCAACTCTTCAAAGTAGATATCATAGTTTATTTTGTATGGCGATTCTGAGCAATTAGGTTATTTTCAAATGTTAGTCTGAAGGAGTTCGATTCTTGTGATGTTTAATCATGATATAACTTCATTTAGAAAACTCCTGAAAGCCGGAGAATACTGGACTCATCTTTCATTCTTGTCTATGATTTTTCAGCAGTAGGTATCCATGAAATGGTGATTGACTTGTTCATGATTTCCCTGCCTTATTTTTTATTTTGCCGAACGTAGTTGGAATCATGCTTGGTACTACGTATTCATGTGTTAGTGTTTTCCAGCAGGAAAAAGTGGAGGTCATTGTCAACGACCAAGGGGACCGAATGATGCCAGGCTATGTGGTGGTGACAGATACTGATTGATTGATGATGCAGCTAAGAACCAGGTGGTGATCAGCTCGACTTACCAAGTGTTCGATGCTACACAAATGATTGGTGGATGATCTGATGACTCTTCAATGCAGACTGATATGAAACACTGGACTTTTGGTGTTATTAATAAGGGCAGTAAGCTGAAGATTCATGTAGAGTACAGAAGTGAGACAAAGAAATTCTTTGCTGAGAAGATCTCATCCATGATTTGCAGATATGATGGAGTAGCAGAAGCGCATTTAGGTAAGGTAGTGACTGGTGCAGTGATGACAGTTCCTGTCAGCTTCAGCGACAGTCAGGGTCAAGCTGGTATGAATGTGTTAAGAATCATCAGCGAGCCTACGCCTGCTGCTGTCGCGTATGGTATAGAAAAGAAGGATGGTGGTCAGCGTAACGTGTTGAATTTCGGTTTTGGCGGTGGTATTTTCGATATAACGGTCTTGACAATCGATGATGGTATATTAGCGACAAAGCCTACTGCTGTTGACATCCTCTTGAGAGGCTCAGACTTTGACAGCCGTAAGGTAAATCACTTTTTGCAAGAGTTCAAAAGTTGGCATAAGAAGCATATCTGTGACAATAAACCTTGCTGTTTCTTCAACAGTTCTGGTTTTGATTTGAATCTATTTTACACAATTTGGTTTTGTTTTCAATTTTGGCCGAACAGTGAGAGTCCCTATCTTCAGAGCGTTATTCACACGGTGGCTGTAACACCAAGTTCTTGAAATTTGGTTGACCGAGTATCACGTTAAAGAGTATTTGTAGAACATGTTTTATTTATAATTTATTTTTTGTGGAAGTTCGTTTATTCTAATCCTTTTATTCTTTATTCGGACATTCTCAAGCTGCTTAACCTGACTGTGAATCTCCTTTGACACACAGTGACACAGCATCTGACAGGATTCAGTTATAGAGACCTAGCAGTTTGAGGTTTGTATACTATATTCCCTATTTCACGTATACTATGGTAGCGAACTTTGGAGAAATCTTCTGTTTTTGGATTTTACTCATGATTCAACGTTTGGCTGATATAGTCGACTGGATAATCACCTCGGATTTCTTGGAAAGAAATCTACGTATTCATTGTTTCTGTTTTGTTCACAGTGATTAACAGTATATATTTTCTGAAGTGAAATAAGCTATGCTTATGAGTTTAACAGCTGCAAAAATGGTCCGTTAGTAGATAGTTCTAGTAATACTTCAAGAAGACTGACTACAATTACAACTATACTCAAACCGTTTTGAATACTGTTAAGGCAATAAGAAAGTGTTGTGATAATGTTTTATAAAAAAATTACCTAGTTAAGTGAAAAAGAAAAAGCCTATAAAACAAAAGTCACTCAATTATTCAAGGACTAGTGCATTCATTCTATTCTCTAAGAGTCATTCAGACTGGTGAATGACTTCCAAGTGATTAAACTTGATTGAAGCTGTTTATTTTGATCACCGAGATTGACATATATGTATATATATTTATATTTCAGAATTAAGAAAGAACAGTTTCCACTCTAAGAATAGGAAAAAATTACTGGTTTCCATAGTTTCGGTTACGATGTTTGAAATTCTACTTATCACTTTTTTTAACCATAACTGACTAAATTTGTTAATTTTGAGAGTGTCATACTGAAGTGTAACAGTGAAAATGTTAAATAAAGGAAAGTAGTTGATGCTTACTCTTCTCATTGTTTTAATCATTCAGTTATGTCCTTGGATTGAAATATGTGCCACTGTACATTTTTAACGAACTTTCGACTTATTTTCAAGTATTGATTTGTAGGGATTTGATTGATTGGTTACAAGATTTCATCATGAGCTGACACAGTTAGAGAGCTATTGGAAAACCAGCTGGGAGTACCGGATAGCCAAATGTTTCGCCTTAGTTTGGGGCTCTTTTTCAGTACGCACCCACCGCCAGGGTTCGAACCCAGGACCTTTTGGTTAAAGACCAGAGAGCTCGTAAACCATTAAGCTACTGGGACCCAATCAATCAGACACCTACAGACTAATACTTGAATATCGAAGAGATGTTCACTAGCGTTTGGCCCTATTTAGGTAGGTAGTTACCTTGGGTTCTAGTGGGACGTCGTGACCAGCAGGTCGGGTGTGAGGACAAATACTCGCCGAAGACATTGGCTAGCGATTGCGCTATATCGTGAATTGGTAGAATTTAGAAGCTCCTAGTGGCTTACTGGTCCACGAGCTAGCTCACCTTGTAACCAGAAGATTCAGGGTTCGAACTCCCTGAGGTGGGTGCGTACTGTTAAAGGGTCCCAATCTAGGAAGGAGGAAACGGCTGTTCAGCTCTCCCAGGTTTTCCAATGGTTCTCTAACCGACTACAAATAATTGTTTTTGTACCTTTCGAAGAAAATGAGGAGAGAATATGTTAGGGGATTGGATGATGCGCCAGATAGGCATTTGTTCACGGCAGCACTAAATAGTGCAGTGGCTGATGTTAGAATTCAAGGGACACTAAACTCTAATCCGGTGACTGCATAGTCAACAAGTTCATCTCGTAAACTAAAGTCCCTATGTTCGACTTCTGGTGATGTCGTTGATGCGTCATGTTGATGAGTACTAAACTAGGATGAACCACTCGTCCAGTACTCCTCAGTCTCTAACGAATCTCTAGCTGTTATTGGTTCATAGTGGAATCTGTTTTGAGAAGAAGAAGTGTTAATCAAGCACCACCTTCAAACATTAACGATAATGTATCTTGTTAAATGGTGACAAGTTGAAGGCATGTCAGAAATTTTTTTGGGTGTTCAGCTGACAAGACTTGCACGCGACAGAACACTGAAAAGATTAATCCACAGAAAGTCACCGTGGAAAGGACAACTTACGAACTTCGTGGTTTGATACCTTTATACACAAAACGAAACCTGATCATTATAAGAGCCAGATAATCCTCAATATTTGCAGTTATGACAATACAGAATAGGAGCTGAACACTAAAAATTGCGTCTTATTGAAAATGACCATTCCTAACGCTTCATCAAAAATCCATGAGGCCTACACCACACCTTCTGCCAATAAAATACTACTCTATCTGAATCTAACATTCACTGGAGACTCCTTGGAAAAATGCAGAGCAACCGCTTGTCCCATCCATTGTGGAAAACATTCTTTGCAGCTGAGCTTTGACTTAATTTCTCCAAAAAACCATTGATTCAGATGAACGTGAAACATAAGCTATCATTTCTGCTCCCATCAGTGTGTGTCTGTGAATTCACCTATTTATGCGGAGTTAGGTATGTCAACCGTACCCAATGTTTGCTGTCCAAGCATATCACGGAACATTTACCTTCATGGTTTTATGGAGAAGGAGATCCCTCAGAAGCTCTATTCTGAAGTGCCTAATGCAATCTGGACACCAAGACAATGCGGGAACTAGGAATACGCAGGAATCTCTCAAAGGAGTACGAATCAAATATCTTTTTATTCTTGATTACAGCTTGATTCTACACACTGTTTTTTGGTACAGGTATGTAATTTTCAGCATGTGATATCGGTAGCCCACATTTTGCAGGCCAACTATAGTTATTAGGTGTGCGTCGGCAGGGGATCGAACCCTGAACAATGTACATGGCAATCCATATGCTAAATCTCAATCTCTGAAGTTTGTCCAGTCACTGAACCTACAATAGACCCGATCTGTCTTAACTTAAAACGCATGAATTTTGATTTTTCCTGATAAATTAACTTTCTGCTTCCCTGTCTCACTATTACATTTCTAATTCTCTATTACAACCGCTCTTAATCTAAGTCTCCTTCAACTTCAGTTGAGTTCTCCTCACTGCCTACATAATTTTTCTTATCGCTGTTTAAAATCTTGCTATATAAATGCCATTGTATGTTAAGCCGATAAGTGGACTTTAGAAGATCTGGATTTCACAGACGATTTGCGTCTAACACCGCGAAAATGCGAAGATTTACAGGCAGAAGTCAATACACTGGTAGAAGAAACAGGTATTGAAGACAAAACTTCAAGGGAACATAGAGAAGATGGTGGTAATGAAGATACCTAATCAACTAACAGCAACTAACACCAAACATTATAATAAAGGTTTTTGTATTTCCCAATGAATGAAAACAATATTGTTTTTACTGACGTTTCGCTATTTAATGCTAATAGCTTTATCAAAGTATAGCACAAATCGCTTTCAAAGGAGTGAATTTTAAAGGGGTCGCTTCCTTCACTTATCTGGGCACCATCGTTTCAGCTAAAGGCAGTCTGCAAGGATGAAGGTGTCAAAAGCGGGGTCGAAAAAGGCAAGACATACACTCATCACTCCGAAATCAATGTGGAAATCTTCTGCACTCAACATGGAGAACAAAATTCAAATTTCCAATACCAGTGTTAAATCAGGCAATTCTTCCATATGCGTAGGAAATTTGGCACATTACAGAAAGCATTCCCAATAGACTTCAAACTTCTACCAACAACTGCTTTCGCTGACTCTATAGTAAAGATCACATGGCAGACCAGGAAGAATTATTCACAAGAAACTCTGCTAGCGCACGATATCAACCAAGAACCCATTTTTTCAAGAAATTTTTAGAAGAAAATAGGAATAGATCTTACACATACTGAGGAAACCGTTGGGTGACACCGGCTCTAGACAGGCCATTGAGTGGGATCCAAATGGGACGTTGGAATTGAATCTGAGAGTGACACTCAGGAGATCACCTGAAGAAGAGATGGAGGTCTACGGGCAATTGTGTGATCAGATGAAGAGAAAACTCTAGAGAATAGGGTGAAATGGTGACGCGCTGTTGAAACCTTAGTTGCCCACGGAACCCAAGTGAATAATAACAATAATACAGCTTGAAAATGATATCACTGAAAAGAGTAACTTTTCACTGAACACTTCTTCTTTTATGATTCAGTGGCAAAAATTGTAATCACTAGCCTCATGATCTGATGATATCACTGTAAAATAAGATTATTATTGTACCATGTGGCGTCACATGCCAGGCGAGAACTTTAAGGGGAACAGAATGCGAAGTAACGATTTGTATGGGTATCTGAGGGGGACATGGAGGAGACCGTGTTAAACGAAACTGAAAGCCTGTGAGTGGCCATGGAGACAGTTAAGGACCGAGTGAAATAGAGATGTGTGAAATGAGTAATAATGTGAATAATAAAAAGCCTAATATTACGTAATAAACAAATAAAATGAAAATATAGACTTTTTATTACAAACATTAAACTGAGGTGACTAAAAGTACATTTTATTTTGTGAAAAAAAGATACATAGTTATATATTTTCAAAACAGTTGTACATTTTGAAGCATGGAAAAAGTGGAAAAAAATTCCACAAATATTTTCTTAAATCACATAACTTTTTATGAAAGGAGACTACAGCGAAACATCTTTTTGATGGCACCAGGGATGTCATAAAAGAAGCTTCAGGTGTCTACTATCGTATGTCTTCTAATCTCATGATAACTAATCAAGTCTCCAGTTAATATATATGTATATATGATCTATTGACTGCAGAAAGAAAAACGTCATCATAGTTG